GCGTTAGGTGTGATGCTGTTCTTAAAATCAACATGTCTTAACACGCACAAGGTAGCCTCATTAGTTAGATATTTCAACACAGTCTCACGGCATTTCGTGTTATAGTCACAAAATTAATCTATTGATTCGTGTTCACCAACACGATTTCGCCATTTTTTTCGTGTCACACAGAACGATTTTAAAAGCAATGTAAATAATAACAAATTAGAAGGAAAAAGACATTTAAAAAAATACAGATTTAAGTATTCTGACACAGAACGATTTTAGAAGCAATGTATTTATATTGGTAGTATGTTTCGTGCCTGCACCAAATAATAACAAATTAGAAGGAAAAAAAGATGACATAAAATACAGATTTCAGTATTCTGAGGCTCTGAGCCCCATTTATTTTCCTCACTGACGGCAAAAAAACTCAGACATTATACAATTTAAAATAAAAGGGATAGGGTTAGGCTTAGGGTAAGATATTGAGTAAGAACATGTTTTTATGAACCACACAGCTTCTGGTCTTCCAAGACCCGACCGGACAAAAAGACGTGTTGCAGGCACGAAACATACTACCAATAGAAATACATTGCATTTAAAATCGTTCTGTGTGACACGAAAAAAAGGTGAAAATCGTGTTGGTGAACACGAATCAATAGATTAAATTAACACGAAATGCCGTGAGACTGGGTTGGATATTTGAATATTTGCTTCCTTGGAAAGATAAATAGGAAAGTGCTTAAGTAGCAGGATATATAGGAGCTGCAGGGCTTTAGTGGAAACTCTGTCCTGAAACTATGATTGTTCAAGAACACCTTGTCTCTACAATAGTCACTACTCAGTGTTGACTTGTTTATTTTTTGCAACTCAATGTCTCACTGGGTGCCAAGATCATTTATTTGCGATAGCATTTACTTTTGTATCATGTTGTACCTCTCACGTGTGAACCTAGTGATTAATGGATACATAGGAGCCCAGACCTGATAGTTGGGTTAGTTCTTGGGTTTGGGGTTGAAGCAGATTCCCTCGAGGGCAGTATCACAGTTTATTTAGTGGCGCAGTCTTTGCCAGTTTGCATTGTGAGAAAGTGAGTACATGGGTGTGGAAGTGTTTACTAAATTAATATCTGTCTGTGTGTTCATGTCTCTGTCAAAGCATTGAAATGTAACAGCTCGCATTCTTTGTGAAGCTTCTAAGAGACAAACCCTGGAGCCGCTCCACTGACAGTAAATAGGACATTTTATGGACACAATGACAGCAACCAGGGTCATATTTTTCATGGGTATTTATTAATTTGTGAATGTCAGTTGTATTGAAATAAAGCACCTTTGGGTATGACAGCTTAACCAAATATTTTATGAATCCACACAGCCACTCATTGTCAACAGAGGCTCTTCCAAATTCTTTTTCCTGATTACAAAACAGGTTACAGCTCCAAATTCTCAGATTTCTGTCTCCGGCAAGAGTGTTTCTCTTGCTCACAAATATTGATTGAACTATCACAGATCATAGAAATAACCTATGTGGATTCTATTTCAGGGTGAAAACTTTAATGTTGAACTTGCCACTAGTTACCAGGCATAACCAGAGGGAGGAAGACAGCATGCAGGGACAAATAGAAAGGCAGATAATTCAAGAGTCAGATGAAAGTAGATAGATGATGGAGTGTAGATACTGGTACAGACAATTCTTTTTCCTTACCCCCCTTCCTCCTTCTCCCTCCACCCCTTACTCTCCCTCCCACCCTTATTCCCTCAGTTCTTTGCCTAATAAGCAGCGTTCCTGCGAGCTGATGCAAGGCGGAGGAAACAGAACAGGCGTTCTGGGACTGCTGGAAATATTCCCACATGAGGCATAACATGATAAAGACTTATTATCTCACTAAGCTGCTGTAAACACAGATACACACATAAATGCACACTGTACACAACGCTCTCTCACACACACATTCACAGAAAGTGAAAGTGGTCCGGCTTTACGGTTCTGACGTGCTGTGACCAGGAGGAATCTGACAGAGCCAATCCCTCCAACAAAGCCTGAGAGTCAGCCGCTGTGAGCCAGCTCACTGGGCATTTGTCTCTGCCTGTTTGAACTCCACACACCCAGAGCAGTGGGAAGGAGCAGGAGGGAGAGTTAAGTTCTGATTATTATTAGCGCACAATTTTCGGGAAACATCTGAACGAGCTTACGTGTTCAAACAGGATTCATCCCAGCTCCTCTTCACTCATCAATCATACACATAAACACATGCACCTAGCGTTGGCTGTGAGCTAATCCATTACAGTACAAAGGTAGGTGTCAGCCTATAAGACAAACACACACAGAGTCATCAGAAACATGTTGAGTCCCATTTCCCCTTCTTCTCTTCTCCATCCCAATTAAAAGGCAAAGGAGGCCTTTTATTTCCCTCTCCTCCAAACACATTCTTTATCTCTCTGATCTGCGCCCCTCCTTCCCTCCCTCGCTCGGTCCCCTCAGGGTAGTGGGAATGTCTCTTCCAACACACTCTCAGGTCAGGGGTTCAGCTGGAGGGGGTCTGAGCATGTAGAGAGAGCGAGGCAGAGGCACAGAAAGAGTGAGTGGCGGGTTGAGGCAGGCCTCTGCACGGGCAGCTCCTCTTCGCTGCCAGAAACACTTAAACTTAAAGCACTGTGTGTGTGTATCATAACCCTAATCAGAGACTTCAGGCTAGATTTATGCCCCTGCCTTTTTCCCGACCTCCATTACACCAGCTTATATACACCCATTACAGGATATGACAGAGTACACACCCTTTAGACGAACATACCACACTGGCTGTGTGTGCGAAAAAGAGGGCATGCGCTCACGTCTTCACACACTCCCCACTTTCCCATTAGGTCCTTGTCCACCTGCGAGCTCTATCTCTCTGTCCGTCTTTATCTCTCTTCCCTTCATTGCTAATAAGGTCAATGAGGAAGAGTAAGAAGCAGATGGGTGTACAGTACATTACAGCACAGCGCAGCACAGTGTGGGCTAGATAGCAGGCCGGTGATTCATGCTTAGTGAGACGTGTGATGATGCGAGGAGTTTCTACTGCAGTGCAAAGTCAGTGGAGTGTGCGGCGGGATCTGTTGATCACTCAGCACTATGGCTTGCTTCATAATATTACCTCAGGGAGCAGTTTGACCCAGCAGAGGTCTGAACGAAGGCGGGAGGAGATGGAAGGAAGGAGAATGAAGAGAGGAGGAAGTGTTAGGAAGAAGAATGAGGTTGGAGATTAAGTGACTAGCTTTAAATGTCACAATAACGCTCGACTTTGCAGTCTTAACTTCACAGGCGGATGGGTGCCAGGAGAGACACAGGAGAGAGTCAATGGGGAGGAGAAATGCCGCAGTGTGATTTGTGGTTGGGCTTTCAAATGGTGCTGCTTGTTAAGGAGAACTGGGGAAATCTGCCTGTAGCCACAATGTACTTTTAAAGGCTTAGTTCAACCAATTTTCTGTACAATTGACAAATCTCACCACTTTTTGGCACCCACCGTCTCCAAGGTCAAGAATAAACTTTCTACCTTAGAAGAACAAAAGATATTTGTACCCTCAAGCTATATTTATTTTAGATTGTATGGATGTTGAGAAACCTGCTTCGGAAACATCTACCATTATGTCCAAACAATACAATGACAGCAAAGACATTTGAGTTTTTTCCGAAGAAATGAGACTGAAAACCACTTGTGAGAGAATATATTTTTGGGGGGATTTGTTTTAACTGACCCTTTTACAAGCACAACCACCAGCCCATACACCTGCATACACTTGTATCGACCCCCCCCACACACACTCACACACACACACACACACACACACACACACACACACACACACACACACACACACACACACACACACACTCAGGTCCCTGTCCCTCAGCAAGCATCTGGCAACATTCCATTAACAGAGCCACCAGCGCTCTTTCACACCTTCACCTGCTGTTAGCAAAAGAAAATAGGCCTATGCACACACATACACAGCACACACACACACAGCTCCACCTGCTATTGCCTCAGAGGAAAAGAAAAGTTAGATTCTCTCATGAAATGCCTTTTATTGTTTCCCCAGAAGGCATGGGTTGTAGGCTTCTGAAACATACGCACATACACACAGACGGCGGGTACAATGCCTCGATGGCGTTTTGTGTATCCACCCTGGGTTGCTGAAATAAAAGCATTAGAACTTTCCCCTTAAAAACTATGCGCTTGTGTGTGTGTGTTAATTTCTAAAACTGGATGAGGCGGAAAGACGAGATTGAGCTTGTCATTAGGAGTTCACAGCCTGCGTGCTTGTGTGAAGGTTTGTTTTGTTTTGTGTTAGCAGCCTTGTGTGTGTTCTGCGCGCGTATGTGTGTGTCTCGGCGGCTCCTCTCTCCCACGCTCAGGCTCCTAACGATGGCAAATGCGCCTGTGTGTTTGCGAGGCGTTGTTTCTCAAAAAACAACAACACATCCAGGAACGGCTCGTTTTGTCGGGTTTTGTGAAAGGAACACGGTCTAATTAGAGAGGCCCTATGAAGGTGCATCAAACAGATCTTTCTCAAAGACCAACCTGCTCATGGATCTCACACAGTGCACACATGCCACCTCTGATTATTGGAGAAATGTCTGTGTTATTTAACTATATAGCAGAGTATTAACAGCCTTGTCAGTTTAGATTTGCTGCACGTCTTATCCTAATCCTTGCGTTCGCTCCTAGACACACATTTACATGAAGACAAAAAAGTGTCTGCTTCAGGTGTTGCTTTGTGGCCACTTGGGCATGTTTTTGTGTGTTTGGTTCATGACCAAAAGCCCTTTTCAAAAAGTACACGTGCACACACTCGCGCACATAAGCACACACAATTCACTTCCCTATCTCTGCGTGTGTTTACTTTAGTTTCCTGCCTTGTTTGTTCGCTCAGATGGGAGCAGGCTTTCTGCTCAAACTGCCCCGGTCACTTTTGTTCAATCTATGTGTTGTTTTGCCCCTCCACCCTTAACCCCCCTTTCTTCTTCTCTGTTCTCAGGTGCCAGTGATGATGGTGGAATCAGCCTCTGAGACCATTCGAACGGCACCGTCCAACCAAAACGGAGTCAGCAGCCAATCAGATGGAGGGGGAGGTAGAGAGGGCGGATCTAACGGAGACACCAATGGAGAGATCAGTGCAGTCGACCTACTGCACCTGCAACAGCAACAGGTGTGTGTGTGTGTGTGTGTGTGTGTGTGTGTGTGTGTGTGTGTGTGTGTGGTGTGTGTGTGTGTGTGTGTGTGTGTGTGTGTGTGTGTGTGTGTGTGTGTGTGTGTGTGTGTGTGTGTGTGTGTGTGTGTGTGTGCCTGTCGTGCAAGCATTTGAACTTTTGTTTACATATCTACCTGTACATACGTGCCTGCGAGAACTTGTTTTGCAACACCTCCCATTTGTGCAACTTGTACATATGTACTGTACGCTTCTATAGAACATTATGTACACACCAAGCTGTTGCATAATGTTCATATGTGACAACACGTAGTCGGCCAGACTCCAGTAATTGTCAGGCTTGCATGAACAGTGGAAAGCTCTGACAGGTTGGCTTGTAGGTGCTTTAATTACCCACAGTTCATAATGTGCCAATTATTTCCAATGGGACACAGTCCACCATGATAAATCATACACCAGGGTTCACACTGAGATATGTTACATGTAGCTGGTTGAGAAAATATTAGAGAACACACCTGAGGTTCCCTGTAGGTGCAAAAGCCATTTTGTCCTGTCAGTTTGCCCCATTTTAAAATAGAAATAGCCACACTCGATATACAGTAGGATGCTCAAGAAGTGTGTGTGGGAGAGTCTGTTTTATTTTTTCACTGATCCATGAAGTGCTGTTTGTGTGTGTTTGACACGTCAGCATGTAGTGTTTCCAGTAATGCTATTTGTCTTGCCTCCTGTGCGTCAGCCCCCCTCCACACACACACACACACACACACACACACACACACACACACACACACACACACACACACACACACACACACACACACACACACACACACACACACACACACACACACACACTGGACACTGAATTTCCAAACTTCCTGGAACTTCTTGGATGAAATTCTACATTTTAATTTCTCATTCCCCAAAGATTCACATAACTATTTTCTAATTGCACTCCAATTGACCCGAGCCTTTACACACAAACACACAAATAAGAGCTCAATATAAAATGTATTTTCTCATCCAAAGGTCTCCTCATTAGTCATTTGTCCATAACCACATAAGAATGTCTGCAGAGTGTTGTCATCCAATGACGGAAACTCACTGATTCATATTTTCTGCCATTTGCTGCAAATGATGAAAAGATTAGGATAGAAGAAATGTTCCTAGCTACTGCATTCATTGGCTGTATAAGCAAGTGTGCAATATGTATCATTCCCTCTCGTTTTGTGTATGAATATTTGCGTGTGTGTTGGGACCGCCCATCACAAAGATTCAGTGATGTGAGTTCTTGGCTCTCCGACACCAGCTGAGTTTCAGGTTGAGGAAACCCAGGGGAAGAAAATCAGGGTTTCCTCCCTGCTGCTAAAATGATGCCCTCTAATTATAATGATGGAGCCTTAGGTGAATGAAGAACACTCAAGGCCCTTCACTCCTGTCCTGCTCTCCCTCCTCCTTCCCCTGACTGCATCCTCACCCTGCTTCCTCAGCAACCTTCATCCGAGGACACACACACACAGCCACGCACAAATGCACATACATAAACACTAAACCTGTAGCTCATACAAAGCGGGTCTTTATTCTCTCGGACGTGTCTCTGCTCTCTATGTTTTTGCACCTGTGTGTGTGTGTGTGTGTGTGTGTGTGTGCACCCTGGTATTTCCTCTCTTGAGCGGGCTACCGACCACAAACATACCTCCCTCTCTCTTTCCATCTTTTTCTCTTCCTCTCCCTCACTGTACTTCTTTTTCCCTCTATGCGCTGTGGACCATGAAAGACAAGCACAACCTTTCCTCCAGATCCCAGCCCTCACCTCTCAAAAAATGTTACATCCACATATAATGTAGCAGTAAATACACAGCAATTTATTGTAGCAATTCTGTATTTAGAGCTTTCTGTTCAGCTCAATTTGGGCAGATTGAAAAGATTTGAGTTGTCATGAGGCATAGGTGTGTCCTTCCTGTACTAGGGATATTTTTTTACTTTTTGCCACTACAGCCTTTTCCTAGTTTATGGCTGTTTTACTGTACAGTTCAGTGGTAAGTCAGTATATAATAAAAAGTTAGAATTTATCAGTGTAATCCTCAGAAACCTATATTTTCTCCTTCTTTTACATTTCCATGTTGGGAAGTTACTCTATATTTTTCTGTGTGTCCCTGCACCTCTCCCTAACCCGCGCCCTCACCCCTTGGATAAGATGGCGTTTCTGTGCCAGTGAGCACTGTTGAGTGGCTGCTCTGATGTAAAAACCAGCTGATTTTTATTTCTTTATTCATCAAGTTTTCTCATTCTTGCTTGATTTTTTTTCTCCATTAAAAAAACATTTAAATCTACTTCAAAAATTCACAGCCTTGAAAAAAAGTATTGAAATCTGTTACATTCAGTGGAATGCTGGTGATATTTCTTAAGTTTATTGTAAATTAATATTTTATAATTTCTATTATACTGACCACTTCAGGTTTCAGAATTTTTTTGCTTTTTTTCTCGTAGTGTTCATACCCACAAACTATTTTGTTTTACTTTCTTCATCCCTTATTCCATCGCACGACTAGTTGTGCTAGGTGACCATAGAGGCTGTCATTTTTTAAAGCTTGTGCCCACTAAAATCAATATTGTCTGACACAGACTGCTTCTATATACTGACACTGGTCACCTGACTAAATTGTATAAGAAACTGCTTCCTCGCTTCACCCTTAAAGTCTTAGATATACCTCCTCCTCTTCTTGTTCATTTCTCCTCCACGCTTGAGTCTCTCACCTGAAGGTGTACTGCAGACTAGTGTTGGTGCTTAAACACCATGCCAGTGCGCACTGGAGCAAAAAAGACACACACACAGAACTTCTGACAGCGCGGTCTTGTCAGAACACAAAGCCGTCTTTCCTTGGGCCCCTTGGGAACCTGAGAGAAATCACAGCCATCTCCAGCCATCAAACCACATCCACTGGCCCCTCTCTGTTTTTTGTTTCCTTTTTTCTCATTTTGTGTGTGTTTCCTCATAGATAGATATACAGATAGAAAGATACATAGTTAGGTAGATAGATAGATAGATAGATAGATAGATAGATAGATAGATAGATAGACAAATGAATATATAGACAAATAGATAGATAAATGAAGGTCACAGGTAGGTGGCCAGCGGACAAATGAGCAAGTGGGTGTCCGGAGAAGAGGTATTCAGGATATGGGACATACAGCCGGAGAAAACAGAGGTAAAAGGAGGCGCAAAGAAGCAGCATACTGGGTGGGTGGGGGGGTCGGGGGGCATTGGTGGGCTAGAGGGATGAGGGAGGGGTGTAACGCTGAGACGTGTCAGAAAAGGGCGCCTGGGCCTCCCTGTGGAATGTGGCCTGTCTGCCTCCCCAGAAAGAACAGAGCAGGAGAGAGGGAAGAGAGAGGGAATAAAGGGAAGAGGGGGCGAAGACCAGTTCTGCCCCATCATCGAGGGGAGGGAGGGAGGAAAACAAAGAGCGGAGTTATAGGGCGGCGGGAGGAAGGAGAGGTGGAAAAGTGAGAGTGCAGTGGAGAGTGTATGGCACTTTGTTGAGGTGCTGGGCACGGGTGTAGACATGAAATGATGCATAGCAGAGGAGAAATGTAAGCAGGATAAATCCTAACAAACCTCAAAGTGTGTCTGTGTGTGTGTGTGTGTGTGTGTGGAGGGTGCTCTGACGAGAACCAGGTGTCTTCAATTCTTTTCTTTTCTTTACCTCTCTCATCCCCCCTGACTTTTTTTTTTTTTTTTGCAAATGTGAGTCCGCACTGAGCTCCACCACTTCCCCCCGTCCCTCCTTTCTCACCCATTTCATGTCTCCTCCTTTTCCCTCGCCATCAATGAACCGCTTCTGGTGTTCCGGCAGCAGTAGTTGCGGCCCGTGATGTCGAGGAAGAGAGGTGGGGGAGGAAGGAGGGAGAAAAAGGGGGGGACAATGACAAAAAGGTGCCGTTTCCTCTCAGGAGTGCGGTCCATCGGTCAGCTTAAAAAAGCCAGCTAGAGATTTTTCTTTCTTTCTCTCTGTTTTTTTTCCTACCATAACTTGCTCCTACAAGTATATATAAAGTGAGATTTTTCTAGCAGCGGCCTTCCTTCCCCAAGTGTTCAAAGAGAACATTTGCTGAGAAAAAGGCAGTTTAAGAAATTGGTTCAGAGCTTCGATCCCCAGTCCCATTTGTCATAATCTATTTTTCTCTCTAAAATGCACACACACATAATGGCAATCATTGTTTCTCCCCCTCTCTCATATGCACACAGGCAGTTACACACATGCACAGAGCTGATGTGAGTTAATGAAGGGTGTAATTAAGGAGCCACAGTGATGACTGGAGATCAGGGGGAACTGATACAGATCTCAGATATACACAAACACTGATGAAAGATAGCTGTTTTTTTTGTGTGCGCACACATGTGCAAAAGCGTGCATTTGGGTTTGATGGCGGGAGTGCTCTGCGGACAGATGTGTGAGATTGCTTTGCGCATTAACAGACGATGAGAGATGCTGGATGATTCAGATAACGTATGGCTTCCTGTTAGATTGGCTAGACTCAGTAATTATGGCCCGTATGGAGGGAGTTGGGGAGGTTTTTCAGACGCATGCGATTCTATAGCTCCGGCTGCTCGGCCATTGCTGAATTATGGGAGGTGAATTTTGGTCACTGGGACAGTTATGTCCTGTTTGACCTCCAGCTCTCAACCAGAGTTCACTTTCAGGTCAGGAGTGCAGAGGAGAGTGAGGTGAAGGGGTGGCTATAAGAGAGGAGGAAAAGGTGAAAGAAAAACAATTCAGACGAATTTGTCAGCGCAGTGGGATTGAATTTAATTACATTATGTTCGTGCATCTGCATGACATGTGTGTCTGCGTGTCATTTTTTTGTCTGTATGTCCGTCTGTGTGTGTGTGTGTTGGTCGTGTGTGCGGGCCAGTAAATCAGTGCCAGGCCTCTCTCTGAGTGCTGTCACCTCCTAAAAGCTTTCCCTTGGTCTGGGCCAGGCCTTCCTCTTTATGT